GGCCGGAGCCCCGGGCCCTTTAAATCCCCTCCGGGGCTCCGGCAGCCCGGGCTCGGGCGGGGATTTAAAGAGCCCGGTGCTCCGGCCACTGCAGGGAGCCTTGGGCCCTTTAAAGCACCACCTGAGCCCCGCTGCCGGAGCTCCGGCGGCGCTTTAAAGGGCCCGGGGCTCCTCCCAGTGGCTGGAGCGTACCGGCCCGTACTGGCTAACTTTCACCTCTGTCTGGGACCCAAACCCCGTCTTCATCCCGCCCCCACCCTTCCCGTTCTGGGGACCACAACTCCATCCTCGTCCCACCCCCACCAGTCATGTCCTACCAGGCCCCAACCACGTCCTTGTCCCCGCCACCAGTCCCATTTTATGGGGACCCCCACCCTGTCCTCATCCCTCTGCCAGTCCTGTTCTACGGGGCCCCAACCTTGTCCTCATCCCGCCTTCACCAGCCCTGTTCTATAGGGACCTAACCCTGTCCTCGTCCCGCTCCCGCCAGTCTCGTTCTGTAGTACCCAACCCCGTCCTTGTCCCGCCTCCGCCAGCCGTGTTCTACAGGATTCCAATCCCATCCTTGTTGTGTCCCTGCCAGTCCTGTTCTGTGGGATCCCAGCTAACCCTGTCCTCATCCCACCTCCACCACTCCTGTTCTACAGGACCCCAACCCCGTCCTCATCCCGCCTCCGCCAGCCCGTTCCATAGGGACCCCAACCCCATCCTCATCCCGCCCCCGCCAGTCCTGTTCTGTGGGATCCCCACCCCATCCTCATCCCACCTCCACCAGTTCTGTTCTACACGACCCCAACCCCGTCCTCGTCCTCCCTCCGCCAATCCTGTTCTATGGGATCTCAACCCCATCCTCATCCCACTCCCGCCAGTCCTGTTCCACGGGATCACAACCTCATCTTTGTCCCACCCCTGCCATTCCTGTTGTACATGACCCCAGCCCCATCATCGTTCCGCCTCCGCCAGTCCTATTGTATGGGATCCCAACCCTGTCCTCGTGTCCCCCCCGCCCCCCCCCCCCCGCCCAGGCCTGTTCTATGGGGCCCCAATCCCGTCCTCGTCCCCACCAGCCCTGTTCTACCGGGTCCTAACCCCATCCTCTTCCCGTCCCTGCCAGTCCTGTTCTACGTGGACGCCATCCCCTCCCCCTTCTCAGCCAATCCCCTGGGGATTGGTGGCTGTCCAGGGAGTGCTGTCCCTGGAGTGGTGGGCGTGTGGGAGGCAGGGCACGGTGGGACGGGGCCAGGAGTGAAGGCCCAGTCCTCATCCCGGCTGCCCTGGGGGAGAGGAGTCGGATAAGAGCTGTCTGAGCAGTCTGTGTGAGCCTGGCCCCTGGGGAGAGCAGTGACCAGCTGTGGTGGGCGCATGCTCCCTGCCCTGCACAGACCTTTCCTGGCGACCAGTCAGTAGAGCCCCACGTCACCCCTTCCTCCAGCAGAGCAGCCAGCTGTGGGGGGGCTTTCGTTCCCCTCCATTCCACGCCAGCCCCAGCTCCTCTGGGGATGAGAACAGGGAGCTTGAGCGTCCACTACCCGCCACCATCCCCTTTCAGGCCGTGCCCCGGTGCATGGCCAGCCTGAGCGCTAAGCACCTTCTTCCCACTTGCTGTCTCCGCAGCTAAGGAGCTGGTGACCCGTCTGATGGAGGTGGACCAGGACCAGAGGATCACAGCTGAAGAAGCCATCTCCCACGAGTGGTAAGGCAGTGCTGGTGACTCCAAGCGAGGGGCCTTCTCCTGGCAGGAGGACCCTGGAGGGATGGAGGGGACACTGGCTAGTATCGTGGGAGTTGGGAGGGACATGAGAGCCCAGCTCCACTTACTGGTGCCAGGGGAAGGGCCGGGTGCAGGCTGGGTGGGTGGAGCACCCCATGGGCCCCCTGGCTTAGAGGTGGAAGCAGAGTGCGGGTGCATGGTGCCAGGAGGGCAGCTGCAGGAAGCTGGTCATTGACGTGTGTTTCCACTTCCAGGATTTCTGGCAACGCTGCCTCAGATAAGAACATCAAAGATGGTGTCTGCGCTCAGATCGAGAAGAACTTTGCCAGAGCGAAGTGGAAGGTACATGGCCCTCACCCTGTGCTGCGGCTCAGGTGCTCCACCGGAGCAGAGTCCCTCCCACCCATGGGGAGCCCTGAGCAGAGCAGAGAGGAAATCTCAGCCTCAGGCCCGGTGCTACCATTAAGGTGAACTAGGCGGTTGCCTAGGGCGCCAAGATTTGGGGGCGCCAAAAAGTAGTGCCCCCAATTTTTTTTTTACAGCGTTCCTCCCCAAGCGCGCGGTCGCCGCTCCACTTCTTCCGCCTCCCAGGCTTGCAGTGCCAATCAGCTGTTTGGCGCCACAAGCCTGGGAGGAGAATTAGAGTGGGAGTGGCGTGCTCGGGGAGGAGGCGGAGCAGAGGTGAGCTGGGGTGGGGAGGTGCCGCACGGCTCCCCGGGCCGGGGGGGTGGGGAGCTGCTGCGGGGGTGCCTCAGGGCGGGGAGGGGGGAGCTGCCGCACGGCTCCCCAGGGGGGGCGCCTTAGGGCAGGGGGAGGAGCAGCCGCGGGGGGGTGCCTCAGGGCGGCGGGGGGGGGGGGGGGAGCTGCCGCAGGACTGGGGCGTGGCGGGAGGAGCGCAAGGTGGAAGTTTTGCCTAGGGCGCGAAACTTCCTTGCACCGGCCCTGCTCAGCCTCTCCCTGCACTGTATTCTTCCCAGTCAGGATAGGAAGGGTGATATGGGGATAGGGAACTGGCCTGGGATTGCACAGATCAGTGGTCAGTTCCCAGCTAAGCCACCGATTCCCTGGGCCAGTCACTGAACCTACCCTGGGTCTCAGTCTCAGTCCCGCTCTGGACCACAGGGTTTGGTGTGGTGAGAGGATCTTGCAACGACGGGTGCAGAGAAGACAGGAGGGCCAGGTGAGTACCGAGACAGAGAGATCTCTGGTGTCCCGCTCTCAGGCAGGGCTAAGAAACCAGCCTGTCAGCAGGCAAAGCTGCTTCCGCTGAGGCCCCAGCCCCACTGCTGTGGCTGTCCAGGGAGCTGCCAGGAAGGGATCCATCAGGTGAAGGGCCCCAGAGGAAGGCAGGGGATTAGTATGCCCAGAGGGGGCTTGAACTGGGCGTTTCCAGACCTAGCTGCCACTGGGTTTCTTTCTTGTTTAACCTTCACTCTGTATTTCCTGGCTTTGTAATGCTCAGGTCTCACACAAACCCTCCGATAGCAAGGTCCTGTAATAGCCAGCATTGGACACTGCTTCAGTTTCCCTAGAGTGTCATTGCGGTGACCTAGCCCTCTGGAGAAGTCTGAAAGAGCCACCACTTCCAGGGTAATCAGAGTCTGTCCATTGCCCCTTAACAGGGTGGCAGCCTACGGAGAATCTGTGTGCACTCCCTGCTGAGCGTATGCAGGGCCCTAAAAACTGGGCTGTCAGACCCCTTAGTCCAAACTGCCCTGTGTCCATCTCAGAACCTCTCCCTATGCTCCCACCCACCCCTGGCCGGCCAGGGCTGCTGTCCTTGGGATCTTCTCCAGTCTGCCTGGACCACAGGCCTGCACCTCTCCTCCACCTGGGAGGGAGAGCCGGGTTTGGCCCAGCTGAGCTCCAGCCTCCTTAAAGAGCCAGCTCACCCTAGGACACCTCCCCAACCAGAGCACTGACCCTCAAAGTCCCCTAAGGGCGTCATTGTTGCTATTGATTTGCATGGTTGGAGCCCTGATACTGTGGTGATGGGTGTGGTATGCAAGCCCAAGGCAAACAGGCAGTATAACACCATATGATTCTGGGGTAACTGCAGCATCCCCATAATGTCTGTTCCCTTTGAGGCCTGGTCTACACTTAAAATGTAGCAGTGCTCAGAGGTGTGAAAAAATTCACCTCCAAGGGCTGTAGCTAAGCCAACCCAACCCCCAGAGTAGACCCTTCGTTTAATCTGGCTACCACTGACTGGGGAGGCAGGTTCCCTGCAGCAGGGGTAAAACCCTTTCCAGCGATGGAGGAAGTGTCTACACTAGGGCAATCTGCAGCAGTGCTGCAGCTGGAGCATTCGTGGTGTATCCCCTGAGTCACTGATCATATAGCTTGGCTCTCACCCCTGCACGCTGCACTTGTTTGGGGAGATGCAGGGCTGGGAAGGCCGGGGACAGGCAGAGGGGCACGGAGCAGTGGGCAGGATGGAGGGGGAGGTGGGAGCTCAGTGCGAGGGCAGAGGGCTGTTGCGATGGTGAAAGGCCACCCATGCCGTAGTGACCGACGGGATTCCTCCCGTCCCCGCAGAAAGCCGTGCGAGTGACCACACTCATGAAGCGACTCCGTGCACCCGAGCAGGCTGAGCTGGCAAAGCCAACCCTGCCAGCTGCCGCCACGCCGGACAGTGCCGCCTCGCCGGCCCCCACCGCCACCCCGCAGCCTACGGCCGCTACTGCACCTGACAACACTGCCCCGACGGTGGGAGCCCCGGCTACGTGTAATGGAGAAGAAGCCACTGCCCCCAGTGCTACCCCCGAGGCCTGGACCGAGGAGACCGGCTGAGCAGGAGGGACGGGGTGGGGAAGCACTGGATCTCTCATTGTACATAGTTGCTGGCATGGTATCCAAATCTCCCCTGGCTCTGTGTCTGTCCCTACTGTGTGCCTATTTGTCTGACTCTGTCTACCCCCAGCTGGGCCGCTATAGAGAGCTTCTATTTTCTATGTTCCTGAGCCTGGAGCGACCCGATAGGCCCAGGTGGAGAGACAGAGGCAGAAGCAGAGCCCCTTGCATGGAGTTTTCTCTCTCTCCTTTGCTTTTCTTTTCTCTGTCTCCTTGGGTGGCTTTGTTGGTTTCCTTTCCTCACTGGAGGCTGCTCTCTCAGTCTGCCCACTCACTCACCCACCTGATCCCCCATCGCTGGGCCAAGCGAGGGGAAGCTGGCACATCAGGATCAAACACAACCACCCTCCGGAGTTCCAGGTCCAATTGTTTCCATACCCAGCACTTGTGTGTGTGTGTGTGTGTGTGTGTTTACATACAGCTGCATGTATGTGCTGTGTGTCTAATGCAGTGTATGTGTCTCTAGACATGGGGCGTTTGTGTGGGTGTCCATATGAATTAGTGTGTGTCTGGGTGTCTGTGATTATGCATCGGTGTGTGTGTATGGGTCTCTGGGTGGGTAGGTATGTCCATATGTGTATCCATGGGTGAACAAGTGTGCGTGTATTGGGTGCATTCACCTGGGAGTGGGGAGAGAAGCAATCCCGAGCCATTTAGAGAAGGATTTGAGCACCAGTCTGGAGAGCAGCAGCTGAGCTGAGCCGGCTGGAGGGATGGGGTGACAGGGAGGTGAGAAGGGCTAGAGATTCAAATGGCCTAGGGCAGGGAAGCTGCACTTAAATCCCAGATAAAGCTTCCCATGCAATTGCTGGCACTGGTGGGACGACTCCTCCCATGCCCACAGGTTCCTGTTGAATCATAGATTAGAGTTGGAAGAGACCTCAGGAGGTCATCTAGTCCAACCCCCTGCTCAAAGCAGGACCAACCCCAGCTAAATCATCACAGCCAGGGCTTTGTCAAGCCAGGCCTCAAAAACCTCTAAGGATGGAGATTCCACCACCTCCCTAGGTAACCCATTCCAGTGCTTCACCACCCTCATTGGCTTGCTTGGAGCTTTGTGCAGAGAGCAAGTAGCCTGGGTGTCCCTCCTCCCTGCTGTAACGGTGGCATCTGGCCCCATGGACTGCAGACCTGCCTTCCTCCCTGTGGGTAAGGGAGATGGCTGAGCACCAGTGCTGCCTCACCCTGGCCAGTAGGCACTAGGGATGTCCTGTATCTCCCTAGTCTGCATCCACAGCAGGCTCCAGGAGGGGCTGGATCCACGTGGGGGTGAGACACACCAGCCCTGCACTCTGCTCTGCTGCTTTAGAGCCTGAACCCAAGGCAGATACAGACCAGACTCCACTCACTCACAGTAGCATCCTCCCAGCGTGACAGTTTTGGTCTCACTGCTGCTCCTGCAGGCTCACTGGTGTCACTGACAGCAATGGCCCTGCTGCCAGGAGCTGTGGGCATCAGGGATGCCTGTGGTGGCTCAGTGTGTGGAGGAGCCCAGCATTTGTGCATCACAGTCCCCGCTGGAGCAGCCCTGGGAGGAACAAGGGGGCTGCTGGGAACATCCAAGGGGCTGCAGACCCCTCACAAGAGGTGCCTCTCTAACTATCCAGTGGCCATCACAAACCCCGCATGGCCGGGGGCTAGAACCGCAGCCCTGCTGAGAGCTGGCCCCCCAGTCCCTGTGTGTGCTGATCCAAAGGGGTGCGGGAGCCCTGGGTTGGCCTGTCAGAACAAGGGGGAGCAGGGAGGGGTTGGGGGTTGACTCATCGCCAAAGCACTGTCCTATGCCTCTTCCTACAACAATAGTTTTGCCATTGTCCAGACTGATTGTGGTGTTTGCAGCCCACGTGTGACAGCACGCAGCATGTCTATGGGAGCAGTATGGTATATGCATGAGACTTACACGGCAGAGCTCTGGTCCAGGCTTTGGCTGTGTGAGATTCAGCCCCTGCTGGGTGTATTTATGGAGGATCTGGGGGTGGGAGTGGTGTATGTACATATATACTCTCACTGTGTGGATGTGCATACATGATAACCCCCATGTGCCCTGTTCAGCACTGTGTAGTATTGTTTCCTCCCAGAGGCTAAACCTGGGGCACATAGAGACTCTGTACTGTGGAGGCTTAAGCATGGGCCCATCCAGTCCAAGCGGGGCTTTCTTGACTGTAGCTCTGGACGGTGGCCCCTTGCAGAGTTGTGTTCCCTTGCCCCAACCCTGAGCTGACAGTTTGCAGAACTAGGGCCGGCCTTAGGGAAAATGGCACCCTGGCGAACTTGTATTTTGGCACCCTGGTCTCTCCTGCCTCCTCTGGCCCCTAACCCATCCTCCCTGGCCTCCGCTCCCTCCCCCATCACCCCTGGATCAGCCACTAGCAGAGCATATTTTACCATTTTAGGGTGGGGATGAGCAATGATTGAACAGTAAGGTTGTCAATCAGGATGGCCTGATACGAATGTGGCCTCTGAAACAGAGTGGATCCAAGGCGATGAGATGTTCGGTGCCTGGCTCATTGAGCCCAGGGCTGGCTCCAGCTTTTTTGTCACCCCAAGTGGCGAAGTGGGGGGGGGGGGGAAAATGCTGCGATCGGCGGCACTTCGGCGGCAGCTCTACGGCGCCGCTTCATTCTTCGGCAGCAATTCAGCAGAGGGTCCTTCGCTCCAAGAGAGAGTGAGGGACCCGCCACTGAATTGCCGCCAAAGACCCGGACGTGCCGCCCCTTTCAATTGGCCACCCCAAGCACCGGCTTTCTTCGCTGGTGGCTGGAGCCAGCCCTGATTGAGCCACTCTTCTGCTCCCACCCCCAATTGCGCTTCTCCCTCATTGCCTCAAGCTCCCTTCTGTGGCCTCGCACTCCAGCCCTGCCCCACTCCTTGCCTCTTACCCACGGCACCCACCCATAATGCTGGCCCTGTGCAGAACTGTAGCTGCAGGAGGCTTTGGGGCACATGGTCCGCTCCAGTCTCCAGCCCCATGATAGTGCCCAGCCCATGGAGCCAGCCCTGCCCAAGGAGACTTGCTCTGGGTTTGCTTTGTGCTGGGCTGTTTGGGGATATGGCAGTGGAAATTGATTGGTTTTAGCTGCTGGTAGGCTGAGTCCGGGGTCCTACTCTAGCAGAAGAGAAGATTTTCCTTGTTTCCTGAGTCATTTCCCATTGACAAAAATGTGTTTTACAGCCAAAGGTTCTAGAGCACTCTGCATTTGTGAAGGTTCTAGATTAACCTCGAGGAGAGCTCTTGGCAGCTCTAGGGCATCTCAGGCATCCAGCTTGTGAAGGTCTTGTCCTAGATCACACCACATGCTTGCCAATAAGTGGTCCAGATTGCCACCACCTTGTTGAGGTTCCAGAGTATCCAATGTGAAACCTCATAGGGGCTATAGAGTGCTCCAGAAATATTACATTCTGGTGGCATGCACAGTCTAGAGCTTGGATCAGGATCTCCCGCCCCCCCTCACCCCCCGTCCCCAGTTTAGCGTGCAGACTGATCTAGTGCTCTAGTGAATGAGCCATTGGGTGCTGGTTAGATGCCCCTCCACCATGTGGTCACAACAGTGGGAGCCTGAACAACCCCTCCCCTAGCTCAAGGCCTAGAAGTAGACTTTTGGAGGCGTTTGCTTGCCTGTTCCTAGGTGCAGGGTGCTTGCAGCACTGGCTATCAGTTCTTCGGAGGGTAGGGGCGAGCAGTCCAGATGTGAGGTCTGCTCTCTTGACCAGAGCCCCTCAGCTACCCCCCAGGGTCAGGCCTGGCCCATCAGCCCCCTGTGCCCCCTTCCCCTGGCCCCAAACTAAACGCTGTGAAGGGCCTGCTGGGTTGACCTGCCATCAATGGGGCCTTCTCCACAGCTGCCTGCCCCAGGGCCCTCCCAGCCTGCGGCTTTCTGGGCTATGGTCCACCACTCTAGCTTTACTTTCCCCTTCTCCTTGATTCGCAGCTGCATGTTTGTAGGGTTGAGTTCCATCTATGAAACTTTTATTTCCACCACGACCACCCGGAAGTTCCTGTGTGATCGCTGCACTGTACTACTGGCAAATAAAGACCTTCTGAGGACAAACCGAGAAAGCACCAGCCACACCTGCTCTGTCTCTTTATCTGCCCTGCCGATGAGCTCTGCCCTTCTAGAGGCCAGTTCACCCACCAGGCTGGTGTCAGGAGCAGATCCCCCAGCCAGCTGCCATGCATGCCTCTGTGCCTCAGAGGTGAGCTGGGGAACGACTGGGTGGAACACAGATTCTCTGGGGGCTGGAAGGAACAAGGGGTGGAGTAGGTAGAGGTGCAGCTAAGAGGAGGTTAATCACCGAGTCTTGGGGATCTCCCCCCCTCTAAAATCCAGCTCATCTGATCTCTGCTGTCCTGTGGGCAGGCACAGCACTCCCTCTGGTTGCTATGGCCCTAAACTTGTCTGGCTGCAGCTCAGTCTGCTCCAAAAGGGGTTGGGAAATTGCTGGGAGCAAGCCTCAGAGCAACAGCATGTCTGGCATGGCAGCAACTCCCCAGACATTCTTCCCACAGCCCTAGGCCAGGGCATGGCCCTGGAGAGGGGATCCCATCTAATAGCCACTGCATGCTCCAGGGAGCAGATCCCCTAGCCATCACTGATCTCATGCAATGGGGCCCACAGTCCTTGTGAATGGGCAAGGAAATGGGATCAAAAAGGAGGATCGTGATCCAATCATCAGCCACTCGCAAGCTGATGGTTCAGATGTTTCGCAGAATCCTTTGCACTGGTCCCCACGATGCTTCATTGGAAAGTCTGTGGGAAGCAGGATGGTTTGTTGGGTTCTCCTGGCATCTAAGGAGACAATGGCCCGCAATGATTGAGACGGCATGCTACAGCAGGAGCCGACTGTGGACAGATGCGGGGAGGCGCTCAGGTGATGTTGGAAGACTTGGAAAAGCTGACAGCTGAGGTCCCATCGATGGATAGGGCGAGCCCCGCACAGGCAGGGCAAGTATACCTTTTAAGCCCTGTCTTTGGGAGAATGCTAATATGGCAAGTAATGCCTGATTCTGCACAGGGCAAGCGGTTGAGATGACGCATGGACGGAAGGAGGCCGACCTCTGAAGCTCTCCTAATCCCATGACCCCATCCTTCTGCTCCATGCAAAGCCCAGTATAACTCCCCCCGGGTCCACTGGAATTGCCATTCACTGCATCGTGCTTGTAAGCATGTCCATTTGTACATGTGCTCTTCAGAGGACAAGGCACACCTGGCTGCCAGGTTCAGGTAAGGGCACATTCATAATCTGCTGCCCTTTGAGCCAAGACTGGGCTCTGCCTGGCTAAGCAGTTTTGAGTATGATTGGAACATGGATGGATGACTTCTGAGAAAATCCCAGGAACTAGTGCGGGGTGGCTCAGTAGGGAGTTCCTACCAAGCCCCACTTCAGTACCTAATAGAACCACATTCAGGCAGTGACCTCTGTTAGAGATGTAAAGCTAAAGTCCTAGTCATCTGCGGTCATTATAGATCCCACAGCACTGTTCACAGGAAGAAGGATATAAACAGTGCTGTGCTGGCAAACTTCCAATTAGGTAGCTTTATTCTACCTCCCCCAAACCCCCCCCCCCCCAGTTTCAATGGATACGGTATTCTGCTCTTCCTGTCTCACTGTTTTATAGTTTTGCTGTGTGCTGTTCAACAACAGCTGTGTTCCACCCAAGATGGCTGCATTCCAGTACTGGGTGAAGTGATTCCTGCATATTCCATTCACCATACTCAAGTTCCATCCATGGTTCTGGAGTAGCTAGCTGTTCCTGCTAAAATGTTAAGTAATTAAACCATTAACTCTGAAACTTAATAATGACACCACAGATGACAGTGATGTAAGAGTCCCTAGAACAGACCCATGCAGCCAGTTCTGCACCAAGTCACATTGGAAGCTTTTCTTCCCAGCCAGAAAGGCCATAAACTTGCTGGAGAAGCCAGAGAAGTGGCAGGAGTGTGCAGCAGCCCATACTGGTTCAGTTCAGCCCCTGAGGCTAACCAGAGCCAAACGTAGCCTCAGCGGGCTCCATACGCATGTGATACATTACATTTAGCATGCAGGTCTAACAGCTTCACCAGCATTCTGCTCACCAATGCATCCCCTCTCCTGCAAGCATCTTCTCTGCTTTCCTCCCTTGGTAGCCCATCCCAGAGCCCCCTGCCACACTGATCCCCTTCCCACAGTAAGGTCCGCTAACGCTGTCTTTGCTGCAGTGGCGTTATGATGTAATAAAGTGGCTCAAAGTCTGGGATTCTGCTTGCCTCCTTGCTGTGCCTGGATGACCAGCCTCAACCTCCCTGGCTATTGCACTTTGTTTTCTCTCTGCCTTGCTGTCTTCATGAAAGTGAAGACAAAATAGCACACTCAACAGCCCATGCTGAGACATCCATTACTCTCTGCATAACTCATGCTATTTGGGTTCCGGCCCTGTCCTCTTTGCCTTGTGCCCCTGATCCTTCAATCAGCTCCACTCGTGCAGACCCATGGGCCAATGAACTGGGGTCCATGTTAGCAGATCCAACTGCAAGACTGATGCTTTAGGCTGTTAGGTCAGCAAGTTAGTGCCTGCACACATATGGGGCTGTTAAAGAAATGGTACATCATTACAAATGTAATTTGGTGGGTGAGTAAGGGTCAGCTGGGATTTAAGGTGCCCACAAAGCGAGGCAAGTCCTTGTGAGCACATGATTATATGCTATAACGATTGGCAGTGGGACAGTTGGAGTTGATAACTAAATCACCATCAGAGGGGTAGCTGTGTTAGTCTGAATCTATAAACAGCAACAGAGGGTCCTGTGGCACCTTTAAGCCTAACAGAAGCATTGGAGCATAAGCTTTCATGGGTGAATGCCCACTTCATCAGATGGCTATCCAACTACAGGAGCAGTTTCTCCTCCCTTGGTGTTCACACCTCAACTGCTAGCAGAGCACCTCACCCTCCCTGATTGAACTAACCTCGTTATCTCCATAGTGATTTATACCTGCCTCTGGAAATTTCCATTACTTGCGTCTGATGAAGTGGGCATTCACCCACGAAAGCTTATGCTCCAATACTTCTGTTAGTCTTAAAGGTGCCAAAAGACCCTCTGTTGCTAAATCACCATCATTAGGTTTCAGATCTAACACTTCCACAAAAATGGATGGAGCAGCTCACACCTCCCAGAACTATGGTGTTGGGCTTTCTGCAGCCCTGGGCACACATAGCAGTGTCAATGACACTCAGGCCACGTTTGCCAGGTTTTCCTCACAAGGTGGTGGGCTGGAAACAGGATTGTTTAATGGAAGGTGAGACTCTGCACCCAGACCCCTAACAGGAGACAAGCCCTGCTTCATCCTCCAGGCGCCACCCCTTGAGTCTGCAGGCCCTGCCCCAACCCACATGCCCCACACCATGAGCCTGCAGGCCCCGCCCCACCCCACGAGCCTACAGGCCTGGCCTCTTACACATTGTGCCCCTGAGTGTGCGGACCCCGGTCCACCCGCCAACTGTGCGCTCCGGCCGGTCAGGCTGGGGCGGCGCTAGGAGCCCGTGCTCCCATTAGCCCCGCCCAAGAGAGCCCGCTGGGGCCAGGCGGAGGAGAAACTCGGGGAAGCTGGCCCCGCCCCCTCCTCCTCCGCCATGTAGCGCGGCGGGTCGGGTCCCCCGCCTTTCCCAGGTTCGTCATTTCCGGCTCATGCTGGAAGCCGCCTCGGGAGGAACTAAATTTGAACGGGTAACACGATGCAAACCGCACTGAGCTCCTGCTCCGGGACCGAGCCCCCCGGGACGGACCCGCCCCCGGACCGAGCCCAGCCCCCACCCCCTGATGGTGGTTCCTCTCGCACCGAGGGAGGCTGGGGCAGAGCCGGGGGCGGGGCGGGAGCTGGCCCGAATGTCCCCCCCCCGCCCCCGGGCCGCCCGCCGCCTATAACCCGCGTATCCGCCCAGCCAGGTGGGGCCCGGCCCGGGCAGCCCCCAGCCTGTGCTCGGCGTGAGTCCCCGGCTCGTTCCCTGCTGTGGCCCTCAGCGTGACAGCTGCTGTGACCCCGAAGGGACGCTGGGATCGGACCCCGGCTCGCGCTGGGAGCTAGCGTCGCCCTCCAGGCTGGCTGCAGTCCGGGGGGGGGAGGGGGGCACGTAGCTCCCGGTGGGACAAGTCCCTACAGCCACCAGCACAAAGTCGAGATTCTGCCCCATCGGTGTATCGCAGGGGTGGGCAAACTTTTTGGCCTGGGGGCTGTATTGGGTTTTGGAAATTGTATGGAGGGCCAGTTAGGGGAGGTGGTTGTGGCCCGGCCCCCCATCTCCTATCTGCCTCCCCCCTGGGACTCCTGCCCTATCCAACCCCCCTGTTCCCTGATGGCCCATCCAACCACCCCTTCTCCCTGTCCCCTAACTGCCCCTGGAATCCCTGCCCCTGACTGCCCCCTGCTACCCCATCCAACCCCTCCCCCCTTCCTGACTGCCCCCCTGGGACCTATGCCCCCATTCACCCCCCTATCCACACCCCTGCCCCCTGACCACCACCCCGAACTCCCCTGCCCTCTATCCAGCCCCCCCTGCCCCCTTACCATGCTGCCTGGAGCACTGGTGGCTGGCGCCGCTACAGCTGGGCCACGCTGCCGCCAGCACACGGCTCAGAGCGCCGGGTCAGGATGCCCCAGGAGCTCACAGTCCCGCCGCCCAGAGCATTGCGTCCGCGGCAGAGTGAGCGAGCTGAGGCTGCGGGGGAGTGGCCAGGGGCTAGCCTCTTGGGCCGGGCAGGACGGTCCCGTGGGCTGGATGTGGTCCGTGGGATGTAGTTTGCCCACCTCTGGTGTATCAGGTTGGGCACAAACACGTTGTGTGGGCTGGATGCATCCCGGGGACCTTATGTTTGACACCCGTGCAGCACCTTCTTTATCCCCACCCATGCCCAGCCATGAGTACACTGAATAGCAACATGCCATGCATGCCCTGTGTATTATACCCTACAGTGCCCTCTGTACCTTCCCTCTGGCCCGCCTGCAGCTCATAGTGGGTCCCCCCGTGCTATCCTAAATGTTGGGTTATGCCCTGTGTACAGCATCCTGGCCCCTATGCCAGGCAACGATCCAAACTTGTGAGGCTGTGTTTGGTGTTTGTTCGGGAGACAGCCCCCCTGAGGCTGGTGTGTTCATCTCCCCTTGCATAGGCCAAGGAGAGGTGCTTCCCTGGTTGTGCTGTGGCAGCCTCCTGGATGTCGGAACCATAGAGGATGCCTATCCGTGCCCACTGTACCATCTGCTCAGATTTCTTTGACAATCACAAGGATGTGGCAGCTATCCACTGCGGGCACACCTTCCATCAGGAGTGGTGAGTAGACATGAACAGCATGACAGGTAGTGGTAAAAACATGCATCTCCTTTAACTGCTGAGTTGATATGTCTTATGATGATGTCAGTGTCTCTGGAGAAACAGAGGAAGTGCATCTCCAGTGTTTTGTTCTTGTGATAATGTCTTGTCTTTTTGCATTTCAGTCTCTGAACTCTTCAGCCTCCTCTTCTCTAATCCTGCTGTTTGCAAATATTATAATTAAGGGGGATAAGGATGAAGACAGACATTAAAAACCATGCACCTTGTGCCTGGCTGACCCTTCTTGCGTTTTGAGGGGGTGGGTTGACAGATTGTTAGTTGGCCATCATTGTAATGCAGGCTTCTAAAAGTTGGGCTTTTCCTGTTTTGGAGAGATGCAGAACTAAAATAACAGGAGGTTCTGTGGGTTGGCATTGAGCTGCATGGTATAGTTGTGTGTTGGGAGCACTGGGCAGGGGGACTGCAGATCAGCATTGAACTGCCTTGGCAGAGTTGTAGTGGGGCTGAGGACTGTAGTAGGGGAAGGGGGTGCAGTTCTGCCAATGCAATGCAAAACTGAGCAATGTGGGAAATCCTGCACAGTTCTTGACTAGTTAGTGCTAATTGGAGCTAGGCAGATTGAGTGCCTTATATTCAGAAGCAGTAAAAAGTACTTAATTTGTCTTAATGTATGTTGTTGTATTTCGTAACATGGTATCTTTGATTGAAGGCTCTCTGAGTGCTTTTTGAATATTAGTCACACAATGCCACTGTGAGGTGGGTAGATATATCACCTCCCCATTTTAGTGATTAGGAAACTGAGGCAGAGCAAAAGTTAACTTGTCCAAGCTCACAGTAAGCCAGTATCAGATTTGGGAATAGGAATCAAATCCTAGTCCTGTGCTTTTAACACTCTGAGACTAAAGGAAATGGGGATTAGGCCCGTCAATATACAGACTTCAAGATACTTTTTTTTGCCGGTCTTGATTCTTAGGTGTTAAATTGAAACTCATTTTTTCATTAAAATGGAGAAATGCCAAACACACTAAATGTGTCTGTATGCCACAGGCTCTCCCCTTTTGAGCCATGTGTTAAAGGAGCTTTTTTCGTGGTGACCCAAACTAAGATTCTGTACCAGGGCCTAGTGTCACTTGCTGGCTCATATGATTCTCCCTGGGAAGTCTTATTTCTGAGTTTCTCTTGACTGCCAGACAAATAACTCTGGTAACTGAATATCCTCTTTCCTCTTAGCAGCTTCCTTCCCTTGTAGAAAACACCTCTGCTGTTCAAGTCTTTCGTGTCTCCTTTCTTCCTTCCACCTTTTCATGTTTTGTCTGTCCCCTCTGTCTTCCACGATTCCCACTCTCTCCCCTAAACGTCCTTGTCACAGTGACCCTTCTTCTGGCGTGTGCTTGGGTGTGGTGCTTGGGCTTCCTCTGTTGATTTTTCACTTTGTTGGAGGAATGTGCTAGTGTGAAATGGGGCTGCAACTTGCAATGCTCTTGAACTCTGATGCAGTGCTGCTCCCTCCCCCTTCATGCTTCTCCCTTCCTCATCTGTGGTCTTGGTTTCCTTGCCCTCTCCATCAGAAATGACGCCATTGTGTTGCTCCTGCACAAAGTGCTTGTCCATGTGCTCCAGCAGGAGCAAGCTAAAGATGAAACATAGCTCAGTGGTTTGAGCATTGGCCTGCTAAACCCAGGGTTGTGAGTTCAATCCTTGAGGGGGCCATTTAGGGATCTGGGGCAAAAATCTGTCTGGGGATTGGTCCTGCTTTGAGAAGGGGGTTGGACTAGATAACCTCCTGAGGTCCCTTCCAACCCTGTCATTCTATGTTTCTAATCAATTCCACGCTTTTGCTGGAGTTCCTTTGCAAGTGTATTTGAGCTGGAGGCATGTGCTCTTCCTATGGGATCAACTGAGTGTGTGGGGGAAGGGGGGCAGAGGGGACATGTGTATACCAGGGCGCACTCATCCACACCAAAATGAATCACCCTGGGGATGGTCACTGACTTCAATGAAAGGAACATTCATCGTATATTTTTTTCTCTTTCTCCCTCAGTCTCATCCAGTGGTTTGATACTGCACCGAGTCGGACTTGTCCGCAGTGTAGAATCCAGGTAAATCCTTAATCCTGAACTGTATTTCTACATCCCAATGCTGTCTACCAGCACTGTCAGAGCTCAGGCCTGAGGGCACAGTGGTGGCTCACAGAGGCATTGATGGCATGCAGAGATTGGCTGTCACCTCTCAGTCTCTATCAGACTGTGCTGGGCATCACTACTTACATTCTAGCAGAGAGGCTAAGGCCTTGGCTACACTTGCAGATGTAGAGCGCTGTGAGTTAAACCTGACTTCGTGCAGCTGAGTAGGGAAAGCGCTGCAGTCTGTCCACACTGACAGCTGCCAAGCGCACTTTTGTGGCCACATTTGCGGCAATTGCAGCGCTATTGGGAGCGGTGCATTATGGGCAGCTATTCCACAGAGCACCTCTTCCCATTCTGGCGCCGTGGGTTGTGGGAAGGGGGCATGGGTGCGGCGCATTCTGGGTCCTGTCCCAACGCCCCTTGATGCATCGCTTCGCATCCCAGAAATCCCTTTGTTTCTGTTCACCTTTGGCGCCATCTTTCAACGGTTTCTGTGCAGCGCGATCTGTCTGCGGGAAATGGAGCCCGAACTGCTGAGGTGCATGCTGGCTTATCTTGCCAGCACGTCACGTTTGGCTGTCGAACTATTCCTTAAGATCCAAAGTGAGAGTGAGGAGTCCAACGATGCTATCGAGCCGCGTAACGCGTACGACACGAAATTGCTTGTGGCATTCACGGACATGCTCAGCACCGTGGAACGCCGCTTTTGGGCTCGGGAAACAAGCACCGAGTGGTGGGATCACATCGTAATGGAAGTCTGGGATGACGAGCAGTGGCTGCAGAACTTTCGGATGAGAAAAGCCACTTTCGTGGGACTGTGTGAGGAGCTCGCCCCCACCCTGCGGCGCAAGGACACGAGATTGCAAGCTGCCCTGCCAGTGGAGAAGCAGGTGGCTATTGCAATCTGGAAGCTGGCAACTCCAGACAGCTACCGGTCGGTCGCAAACCAGTTTGGAGTGGGAAAGTCTACCGTTGGAATCGTGTTGATGCAAGTTTGCAAGGCCATTAATCACGTCCTACTCAGAAGAACCGTGACTCTGGGTAACATGCAGGAAATAGTGGATGGCTTTGCACAAATGGGGTTCCCTAACTGTGGAGGGGCGATAGATGGGACGCACATTCCTATTCTGGCACCAGACATGCTAGGATCCGAGTACGTTAATCGGAAGGGGTATTTCTCTATGGTTCTCCAGGCGCTTGTGGATCACCGTGGGCGTTTCATTGACATTAACACAGGCTGGCCTGGAAAGGTGCATGACGCACGCATCTTTCGGAACACTTGGCTGTTCAGGAAGATGCAGGCCAGGACTTTTTTCCCAGAGCAGAAGATCACGGTAGGGGAAGTTGAAATGCCCATTGTGATCCTGGGAGATCCCGCTTACCCGTTAATGCCGTGGCTCATGAAACCCTACACAGGGAGCCTTGACAGCAGCAAGGAATGGTTCAACTACAGGCTGAGCCGGTGCCGAATGACTGTGGAGTGTGCCTTTGGCCGTTTAAAGGGCCACTGGCGATCTCTGTATGGGAAGCTGGACTTGGCCGAAAACAGCATCCCCGCGGTTATATCCGTGTGCTGTACCCTCCATAATATTTGTGAAGGGAAGGGTGAAAGCTTCACTCAGGCATGGACCTCCGCGGTTCAACACCTGGAGGCTGAATTTGCACAGCCAGAGAGCAGGGCTATTACAGGGGCCCAGCGCAAGGCTGCAAGGATTAGGGATGCCTTGAGGGAGCAATTTGAGGCTGAAAACCAGCAGTGATATCTGGTGCCCTGCACGGGAGTGAAATGCAGTAGTTCCAATCTTTAGGAATCAGCGTCTGCTAAGCAGACAAGCAGACTTGCAGTGCCTGTTTATTTCCTGGGCTAAGGAGTCTTTTACTTTATGCAATAATAAAGAATGTTTTCAAAGCCAAAAAATCCATTTATTGAAAAGAAACAAGGGGGTGGAGTGGGGAACGGTACAATCACAGATTCGCGTATGTCCTGTCTGGTGTGCTGTGCAGTGAGTGCTGCACTTCAGGATAGCTATACTGCATGGTGATGGGGGTTGAGTGCAGAGGGTAAGGGTCGTGGTTTTCAGGGCTGGGTGGTGAAGATACTGGTGTTGGAGGCAGCGGGTGGCGTGAAGAACACGGAAGTTGGGGAAAGTGGGTTGGAGGTGACAGTGGGGCACAACGGAAAGAGTTTTGGGACAAGGGCTGTAGGGGGGAGGTGGCGTTTGCGTTTGCGGTACTGCTCCTCTTTCTGCATGGCTACAAGCTCCTGGATAGCGTCTGCTTGGCGCTCCATGATGCTTATGAGCCGATCCGTGCTTTGCTGCCGGTGCTCCGTGCTTTGCCGCCGGTGCGCTGCGTTTTCCTGGCGGATCCTGCTTTCTCTCTCCCTCCAGTCCTGTGCTTTCTCATTCTCTTTAATAGATTGCCGCATCACTTCTTGTAGCATGTCGTCTTTGCTTTTTCGTGGTCTCTTCCTGAGTCTTTGCAGTCTCTGAGCAGGCAATAAGAGGGATGGCTGAGGTCTCAGGGTTGATGCTACTGTATAGGCAAAATGCAACATTTAACAGAGGCAGCATTGTTTATACCAGACAGAGTAATGATTCCCCCCGCACTTAAGGAGTAGAAAACACACACGGTCTACACAATAGCATAATTTTCCCATCCGAAACAGAGCACACATAACCCACGGGAGCCTCAAAATGGTGAGTAAGGGGGACTGATTGTTTCAGGGCTGCGCTGTCCTCTGGTTTTCTGTGCCTTGGGGAGAGCCAACAGCTTCAGGGGGCACCTACACTGAACACTGTCCCAACATTTTCCACAGAAGTTCGTCCTGGACGATATCTTGCTGCTGAGGGTGACCTGGGAAGCAAGGGAGGGTCTTCTACTGCAATGCGGCTTCCGCCCTGGCCCATATGCAGCTTGCCTGTGTGCAGCAATGGTCCCCCCACCCCTCGCGGCACAGTGGTGCGGACACGTTAGCCTGGCTGGGACAAGGACCATGGTGGCTCTCCCGATAAACCTGCGCAAGCGCATTGCACACGTTCTGGATGAGACATTCGAGGAGATTACCGAGGCCGATTACGGCGATGTGATAAACCACATCAATGCACTATTCCGCATCTAGGCATGCATGCCTAACCCTCCTCTCCCAAAGAGCCCACACCGAAAAAATTCCTTCCCGAAAAAAAAAAAAAACGCTTACCGGGAACCTGCTCTTCTGTTTGTCCTCCACCAAGTACCTGCCGCTGCGACTGGCTACCTTCCTCCTGGCTCGAGAAGAGCTCCTGGCTGCATGGCTCCAGGGATTCCGGGGTGTCTCCATCCGGCCCACCACCATCACTCCCGTTTTCCTCCTCCTCCTCCCCCCCCCCCCGGCTCTGAAGTGTCCGTGGTGGTGCTCGGAGTGGAGGTGGGGTTAACCCCAAGTATCGCATCCAGCTCTTTGTAGAATCGGCAGGTTGCGGGGGGAGCACCCGAGTGGCCGTTTGCGTCGCGGGCTTTGCGGTAGGCACTCCACAGCTCCTTCACTTTAATCCTGCACTGCAGGGCGTCCCGGTCATGGCCCCTTTCCATCATGTCCTTTGATACCTTCCCGAAGGTATCGTAATTCCTACGGCTGGAGCGCAGCTGGGACTGGACAGCTTCCTCCCCCCAAACACTGATGAGGTCCAGCAACTCGCCATTGCTCCATGCTGGGGCTCGCTTGGCGCGTGGAGGCATGGTCACCTGGAAAGATTTGCTGATAGCACTCCACGCCACGCCGGGCTGAGCAAACAGGAAGGGGATTTTTAAAATTCCCGGGGAATGTAAAGGGTGGGTCACATGGTTGGTTACCTGAGGCCAGGGCAGTAGAGTTTGAACTGATGACCAGAGTGGCTAGAACAGGCATTGTGGGATACTGCCGAATAATTCTGGAGGCCATTCACAGCGCATTGGGCGGCCACACTGGCGCCGCAGCGCTGCAGCGGCAGCGCAATACTTGCTATTCCTCTCGGGGAGGTGGAGTACATGCAGCGCTGCAACCACGGAGATACAGCGCTACAAATGCCTTGCCAGTGTGGACGGGGAGTGAGTTACAGCGCTGGGGGCGGCTTTACAGCGCTGTAACTCGCAAGTGTAGCCAAGGCCTAAGGAGTGAATGGGCCATGGAGACTGAAATCCTCCCTTTAAGCCTCTCCAGGCCAGATTGGGGCACATTGGGAAGCATGTTTTGCTACTGCCAGACCTTCAGGGCTTTTACTGTGGCAAAACTTCACTAGCGCTAAATTGTCCTCCTGGAAAAGAAAAGAGGTGGGGGGAGCTAGGAAATAATCTAGGCCTGAGATTTAAAAATTTTATTAAAGTTAATGTTTAAAATTAAATATACACAATTTAAGAGGGAAGGTACTGTACATCTGGGGTCAGTACTTCCTAGCTTCCCCAGCTGAGATCAGGACACTGCACATACACATAGTGAGAGACCGTCCCTGCTCTGGAGCACTCAGCCTAAATAGGGGAAAAAGACAGAGGGTGGGAGACAGGAAGGAGTTTCTCCCTTCTACAGATTAGGAACCAAGGCACAGAGATTCAGTGACTCACTCAAAGTTCACCCAGGGATTCTGGGCAGAACCAGGAACTGAACCCAGGTCTTCTGAGTCCCACCCAGTCCAGTGCCTGAACCCCAAGACCATATTTCTTACGTTAGTCTAGTTTTTGTGCCTCACGTTACAGTAATAGTCAAGGTTGGGAGTCTTGGTCTGTGCTAGGCTTTATTGGCTATACTCTGAGCTGAGTTACACAGAGGCATCAGTTCGCAGCCAGCATGTTAATTTTATAGGTGTGCTCCTGTCTTTTTCTTTCCTTTCAAGGTTTTGGCCCTTGTTTCTTCCCTGACTTGTTGATTCCCTGTATTCTTCACCACCTCTTACATCTCTGGGTTACCATGGAGTTCTCGCGAAATAACATCTTATGTAGCAGTAACTATGCAATTAGCTGGTGTCATGACTGCATATAATACTTAAAACACAAAGCTGTAACGGCATGGGGGAGGTGGGGGGAGCTATTGCACTCAATTACAGCACCCTCTGCATACAGAGAGCAGCACATACTTCTGTGTTTGGATTTGGCACTGGGTGAGCTCAGCATCAGCTGCTGGGCCTGAGCTGCCAGAGAACAAGCTGCTCGTGACTCAGAAATGCCTGAATCTTTCTGTCAAAATTCCAGGATCTTGCCTGGAGTGACAACTGTAAATCTCAAGTTTGTTGCTTGGGTGACAGATCCAGGATCTCACCATAGAGATATCAACCGTGTGAACTGACTCCCACCAGCTATACCACACATTACTATCTTGTGATGGGACAGTAACCTTCTCCCATTGTAGCTGTCTGCCTAGCAGAAAAGGCTCTCTCTGCATTTTCACACTCCTCTTCCATGTCTCATCTAGGTCAGCAAAAGACACATCATCAATAAGCTGTTCTTTGATGTTGCCCTGGAGGAGCAGACGTCACTGGATGCAGAAAGCATACAGGTATTCTGACTCAGTTCTCTTAACAGCAGCCTGGAGCCACAGTCTGTCCCAACAGCTTCTTTCAGTCACTGGTGGGGTCTCTAAAAAGTCCTGGGCTTCAAAGCTGGATGTTGCTGTTCTTTCTCCTGTTTGCCTCTCTGCTTTCTGTCCCTGTCCTCGCCACTGAGCTCAGCTCAGCTCTTCCTGCAGAACACCTTCACGTGGTGCTTCACAATGGTCCCTGCTTTTCTCTCAAATGAGGAAGCCATCTCCACCCCTTCGCTCCTTCCCCCTCACTTCTCATCTTCCCTGAAGCCCTTCCCATATGTTATAACTGTTCAAACTCTTTTTGTTCTTGAGGCCCCTTGATTGTCAGGAAGGCTGGGATACAAAGCTTTCCTGCAGCCTGGGGTGGAGAGAGTCCCAAGTTCTATCGAGCCAATCGGCAAACCCTAGAGAACCTGGGCATAGGAGGATGATCCTCTAACTCTCTTGGGGAAGGGCCTATTAAAGGTACACTCAATTTGTTCACTTTATCCATTTAACAGCCCTCTGTGTTTAGGTGAGTGTCACGGACTCACAGGTCGTGCCCACTCTTGGCCACATACGGTCCCTGCGGGGGGGAAACCCCCATCAGTGTGACAGCCCTTCTTGGGGGTCCACTCTCTCTCGGTGGTTAAGCCCCTCCACCTCCTGGAACCACACCTCTCTGAGCCTTAGCATGCCTGTCTCTCGCTGTGGGCCCCCTCAGGGAGTCCACTCACTCTGGACCCCAGGGGCCTCCACTCCCAGAGGGAATAATGCAACCCTGTTCTCTAGACCGGAGTGACTCTCAGCCAGCGTAAAACAGAAGGGTTTATTGAGCATCTGAACACAGCATAGGAAATTCTCAGGGCCCTCAGGCTGGCCTTCCTCAGCACAGTACATCTAAGTCTCTCCTGCATCCAGGTGGGCTCTGCCTGTTCGTTCTCTCCAGTCCCGAGCCCCCGTGCTTTCCACCTGGGCGTCTGATATCACCTCCCCCAAGCCCCACCTCTGTCCATTTTCTTCTATCCAGATAAACAGGGTCGCCTGGGCCTCCTCTCCTTTCAGCCGTCCTTTGTTCCCCTCTGTCTGGAATCGGCTGGCCAGGTCACTGGGGTCCTCTCTTCGCAGCCCATTGTCCTCCCACTGGCCAAAACTGGCTGTGACTCCCAAGCTGGGCCTCCTGGTGACCAGTCGCTGGGGTATCCATTCTCCAGGCCATTGGCTGGGGTCCCAAGTTCCGTCGCTGGTCCTCTGTAACAACAAACTCCCTCTCCCATCACCTTGTTAAACCAGTAACACTCAGGGAAACTGCGTCCCACCCCCATGGTATTGAAAAAAACAAGAAAACCCCCCACTTCGTAACATCTACCCTCTCCCCGCTTCAGCTCAAGTTCAGGGCCCCTGTCCTGTGATAAAGCATTGTCTATAACATTGGCACTCCCCCTCACATGGACCACCTCCATGTCATAACCCTGAAGGAGCAGGCTCCATCTCAGCAGCTTGGCATTAGCCCCTTTCATTTGGTGCAGCCACATCAGAGGCGAATGGTCAGTGTACACAGTGAAGCGCCACCTAAATAGATATGGTTGCAGCTTTTTAAGGGCCCACACCATAGCCAGGCATTCCTTCTCTATGGCCGCAAAGTGCTGCTCCCAGCGCAGCAACTTCTTGCTCAGGTACACAGTGGGATGTCTCTCCCCCTTAGTATCAGTTTGCATCAGCACTGCACCCAGTCCAGTGTCTGAGGCATCAGTGAACACCAGGAAGGGTTTGTTAAAATCCGGGTTTACCAGGCTTTGGATGAGTGCCCCCTTTAGCGCACAGAGCCCCCTCTGGCACTGCCCGATCCAGACCACCTTGTCCGGCTTTCCCTTCCTACAAAGCTCCATGAGGGGAGCTGCCAGGTTGCTAAAGTGTCGCACAAACCTCTAGTTGTACCCCGCCATGCCAATGAAAGCCTGGACCTGCTTCTTAGTCTGGCCGCTCCCCACCTTGTGGCCCAGGTATGACACCTCTGCAGTCCCCACCTTGCACTTTCCAGCTTTTATGGTCAGTCCTGCATCCTGGAGGTGACCCAGCACTCTCTTCACCTGGGACCACATGTTCTTCCCAGGTCTGGCTAAAGACACAGATATCATCAATATACGCTATAGCAAAGTCCTCCATCCCCTTAGTAACTGGTCCACCAGGCGCTGGAAGGTGGCAGGTCCCCCTTGAGGCCAGAAGGCAGGACCAGTAACTCAAAGAGCCCTATTGGAATAGTGAAGGCAGACTTAACCCTGGCCTCTGGGTCCAAAGGAACCTATCAGTAGCCTTTGGTGAGATCCATGGTAGCAAGGTACCGGGCACCCCACAACGTGTCTAGGATCTCATCGGTCCTAGGCATGGGTTAGGCATCAGACACGGTGATGGCATTGAGCTTCTGGTTCTGTGTGGACTATCGGATCAATCCATCCTTCTTGGGGACCAGCACCATGGGAGAGGCCAGGGGCTGGAGGATGGCTGGATCACCCCTAAAGCCAGCATGTCTCCAATCTCTCTCTCCAGGTCCTGGGCTGTTTTCCCAGTGAACCTGAATGGTGAACACCTGATGGGAAGGTTGGCTCCCATCTCCACCTGGTGAACAGCCAGGTTAGTGAGCCCAGGCCGGTCAGAGAACAGCTGCCAGTATGAATGCAGCACATCTCTGATCTCAGCCTGCTGGGCAGGGGTTAGCTGGATTGAGAGGGGAATTAATTCCAGCGAGGGGTCAGCCCCTGCCTCAGGGAGGAGTCCCACCAGGGGATCCCCTCCCTTCTCCCACTGCCCACACACGACCAGCACCAACTTCTCTCTGTCCCAGTATGGCTTCATCATGTTGACATGGTACATGGTGGCTGTGCGCCAAGTTGGACAGTTCCACTACATAGTTCACCTCATTTACCTGTCTGATGACCTTGAAGGGGTCATCCCAGGCAGCTTGCAGCTTGTTCTTCCTCACGGGGATGAGAAGCATCACCTGCTCCTCGGTAGCATAGGAGCGGGCATGTGCTGAGCGGTCGTACCAGACCTTCTGCTTCCTCTATGCCCTGGCTAGGTGTCCCTTGGCCAAGCCCATGAGCTCCGTGAGTTTTTCCCAGAAGGTCAGTACATACTCCACACTGATTCTCCATCGTGAGAGGCCTTCCCCTCCCACTCGTCCCTCATAAAGTCTAGGGGTCCCCTCACTCTCCTCCCTGTGGATTCCTGGGGCACTTCCCTGTATGCGAACAGCAAGTGGGGTAAATACTTGTCCCAGTCCTGCGGGTGATGTTCCATAAATGTTTTCAGCATCATCTTTAGGGTCCCATTGAACTTCTCCACCAGCCCGTTGGACTGAGGGTGATATGCCGAGGCCCCGGTGTGTCGGACCCCACACTTCTCTCACAAGCACTGGGGCAGGGTTGACATGAAGTTGGACCCCTGGTCTGTAAGGACCTCATTGGGGAACCCCCTCTGGTAATGGTAAGCAGCGCGTCTGCCTCAGTCGAGGACAAGGCCACCGACTCGGGGTAGCGCATAGCTAAATCTACCACCACCAGAGTGTATTTCTTCTCCAACCAGGTTACCCTGCTGATGCCCTGATGCCCTTCAAGGGGAATATTGTGGGCCAAGAACAACAGTCTGTGGTGGTACCTCTGGGGAACCACCAACTGCCTACTGGCTTTCCAAGGTTCAGTTTGTACCCAGCCAGCCCAGGAATCCCTTCTCCCACAGGAATCTCTCCCGGCGGTCCTCCCACTGGGATCCCGGATCGCTGTGGCCAGCAAGGGCCCTCGCTTCTCCAAGGAGGGATGCTCCTGCAGCTCCATCTGGAATTCAGCTGCTGGGTTTGAGGGTACAGCCCTGGTTGGGGGTGCCTTAGTTTCCTCAACTTGGGACGGCAGCTCTGGTCAAGCCCTACCCTGGGTGCTTCAGTCGCCCACTTCCAGAGGTCCCGCATCCCGCTCTGGGTAAGGACCAGGGTGCTTTGAGTGCCATCTGGCCAGTTCTCCAAGTCATTACCCAGTAGCACCTTGGTAGGCAGGTGATCGTGCACCCCAAACTCTGTGGGTCCCTCCTTAGCTCCCCATTTCAGGTGTATCTTCACTACAGGCACCTTGACGGGGAGCCTGAAAACTCCCCTCAGGGTCATGTATGCATCGGACACTAGCTGTCTGGGTCCACCTCCTTGGGCCACGCCAGTGTCCCAGAACCCCTGGACGCTCCTTCCCCCCCACCTCAATGGGGATGATGTAGCGATTGTCCCCCGGGGCCTGTCCCACACTCATCTGGCGTATTGAGTACAGGCACTCTGGACCTGGAGCCCCGCCTTCCCCTGCTGGCCTGGCAGTCCCCTCCCCCTGACACAACCCTATCGACTGCGGCCCCCTGGACTGCCAGTGCCTCCTCTCGGTGGGCTTCCACCCAGTTGACACCCATGGGTTCTGCTTGGCTGCCATTTCCATCATCTTCAGGCATTGTGCCCTCTGTATCCTTTTTGGCCACAGTAATTACATTTTAGGTCCCTCAAGTCCCATGAGGGGCGTCGGCCCACCCCGGCATTCATGGGCACCCCTGAGTTGGGCTTCCTGGAGTCCCACCTTTGAGAGGTCTCTGAGTGACTCCCCTTCTGAGTCCCCGATGTGGGTCTCCCTCCTGCCCCCAATTTGCTGTCCACAAACTCATTCACCAGTGCACCTACACTGTGCAGATCTTTACGCTTCCGGTCCACTAACCACATCTTAAGGTCTGGAGGGCGGATGTCATACAGCTGCTCCAACTCCCCCAGGTTATACACGTCCTCTGCGGTAATGACCCCTGCGCCCTTCCCGCACTTACGGAAATATTCCCTCAGCAGATTGGCTACCTCCCTGTCAGTGACACCTGCTGTCTTGCGTACACCCCGGAATCGTTTCCTGTATGCCTCGGGGGTCAGTTCAAACTTCATCAGCAAAGCCTGTTTGAACAGGTCACAGTCCCCTTGTGATGTTCCC